TTTATCGACTTTGTCGCTGTTGTCACTGTTGTCGCTGTTTATCGACTTTGTCGATGTTGTCACTGTTGTCGATGTTGTTGCCGTTGTCACTGTTGTTGATGTTTTCTCTGTTGTCGCCGTTGTCGATGTTGTCGCTGTTGTTACTGTTGTCCCTGTTGTCACTATGGTCGCTGTTGTGCCAGTTGTCGATGTTGTCACTGTTGTCGATGTTGTCACTGTTGTCACTTTTGTCAATGTTGTCGCTGGTGTCACTTTTTTTCGATGTTTTCGCTGTTGTCACTGTTGTCGATGTTGTGCGCCGTTGTCGATGTTGTTGCCATTGTTGCTGTTGTCGCTGTTATCACTGTTTTCACTGTTGTCCCTGTTGTCACGGTTGTCGCTGTTGTCGATTTTGTGACTGTTGTGACTGTTGTTGCTGTTGTGACTGTTGTCATGTTGTTGCTGTTGTCACTTTTGTCAATGTTGTCGCCGTTGTCGTTGTTGTCAATGTTGTTTCCGTTGTCGCTGTTGTCGCTGTTTCCCCTGTGTATAAGTCATACAAAGTCCCAGTTTTTATATGTTATTTATTGGCATTATTTTTAGCTTGTTTTTGGTAATTTTAAAGGTGTCATTAAAGAGATAAGATGGCAAATTATTGTGAAAGGTTTGAACCCAGGAGTCATTTCAAAAGGTTGAGTTTGATCGTCGGGGTGAACGTAGTTCTGAATAGGACTATTGTTGTTGACAGTTACTGACGTTTCGACAACCTGTGCGGTAGTCATCTTCAGAGTCAAAGTGTGTTGTATCACGTCAGTTGATGGTATTATACTCTGGTTATTGATGTGGTTGGTCAATTATGTCGCGATGTTATTGGTCGTCTGTCATTTAAGCCGTGATTTTATTGGCTATGAAGACTCGTAATCAGTGATTGGTGCGTTTCGATCCGTCTATTGTCACAGTTAAACAGTCGTCTGTTGTTAGTCGAATTTTCAGTTCTCCAGTTGTTCTCTCATAGTTAGTTTTGCTTGATCTCGTCAATAAGTCGTTTGTACGGCGCTGGTAACTGTTGGCTACGATTCAGTGGTGTCTGTTCTAAGAACAGATCTACCTAAACTCAATCATTATTGTTATTATGTGATGTTTTTAAAAATGGTCATTTACCCTTTTTGTATATAATTTGTTTAAGCTATGAAAATACGATGGCAATGAAAGGATGTTGATAAAACAGAAGGGAAAATCAAGTAACCCTAAAGCAGTTGTATTTACCTTTCCTTTCTGCAGTAACTGTTGTGGTGCACCTCATTGTCATGTGTACAGTGACTCCTCAATATGAACTTGTTACATTTTAAAACTAAAAGTCACTTGGGTGCACAAACATTTCTAGCTATTAGTTTGGTAACATGTTTATGGACTTTACACATTGTGTCACTTAAAAATTACTTGAAGAGAGGAATATTTGCCAATATGAACATTTATAAAAAAGCAGAAACAGTTCTAATTTATTTCTAGCACAACAACTTTGCATTATTTTATATCTCCAAATATGGATGACAAGCTGAAGGCAACAAATAACCGGAATGAGATAATCATAAACTATTGCATCCTACACAATGCGATGATTAGCTTATTTGAGAGATTTCTTAGTTCCAGTCGAGACCCACAAATTGGCCCTTGCTCACCATAGAGTCTCCAGTAGCTCAAGTGGTTAGAGCATCCGACTAGATCACGGAGGGTCGTGGGTTCTAATCCCATCTGGGACTCGGATTTTTTTCCGAGTCCTCCTCATAATTAATATCATGTTTTTAATTTTTTGCTTGGAAAATAGTTTTCATGTATGGTAATCATAGAGCACATGCCTAAATCCAACTCCCACTTATCTAAAAATTAAAAATAAAAATTAATGCAGTACACTATGAAATTTCAGTGTGACAAATACGTCTGTTACATCTGACTAAAATATTCCTTTAGTTCCATCCTTGTACCTCCAATTAAATCAGTGACGATATACATGCAAGGAAAGAAAAAAAGAAACGACCATTTGGTGGTCACTTTGCATATTTTATGAGTGACACAGATATAAACAACATCTTACTAATAAATTGCATGGTTTTTATCCAGCTAGCTGTCATAGAGTGTCGTGGAACTTTTTGGTCATAAGAGGATTGTGTGTATTGGATGGGGTGAGTTTTATTCTTTTTTTATTTATTTATTCAGGTCCCACTGTGGGGTGATAAGTTAGGACAATTTTCCCTAGCTTTTGCATAGATTTTCCATATTACTTAAGCTGAAAAATTCAACAAAAGAACTAAGCAATTTCCAAAAATGGAATGACTACCCATACACTAAAAAATACAGTTGCATTAGCCAAGAAAAAACAACAGCATAAGTGACCAGATGGAAAAAAATCCCAGCACATTATATTTCATACACAGAAAAACAAGGGGATAGAGCTTCATGCATACACGTGATAACTGGCAACACTTGCGTGGCTTAGTGATTAAGTTCTCTCTTTTTAAATTAAACACATAGTGGTCGCTTACCTCCTGTCGCGGCTTAATTTTGTTTGGGTGAGTTGTGGAGGTGGTTTAGCTCCCGGTTGAACCTCTGTTGTCGGGCTGTTTTGCTTTATTTTTCTTCAAGTTCTCCGAAAAATTTTGACTTGAATTTTTTTTTGCTTTTTTTTCCTTCTTTTTAATCAGGAAGAGAGTTCTCAATTCAGACTCTTTTTCTGGTTAAAAAAGAAGAAAGAAAAAGACGAAAAAAAAAATTTAAGTCAAAATTAATCTGAGAATTTGAAGAAAAAAAAAGTAAAATGGCCCGACAACGGGGGTTCAACCGGGGGCTGAACCCCCTTCATAAGTCACTCAAATTAAATTAAACGGCGGCAGGGGGGGGAGCGGCCGCCATGTGTTTAATTTGATGAAAGTGAGCTTATCCACTAGGCCACGCAAGCGTTGCCTGAGAAAGTGAGGCAAAATTAACCTAGAAGTAGGTACAGGCTCTATTGTTCTCAGTGAATCACGCCGTTTAGTCATAATTTATTCAAATCCCGTGCGGAATGTTTTCTTATTTGTAATTCAAAGTTCAAACTCCAAAAATAATAATCTTGAATATTCGCAACTTAAATTGAATCGAAAGGCAGTTTTTTTGTGATAACTTCAAGTAGAATACGTTGTAAACTAGTTTCTTGTAGTACCCCAAAACGTGTCGATGAACAACTCCTGTGTCAGTAGTGTTATTTCGAATGTTGTTCATTAGTTATAATTTATTGATATCCCGTGCAGAATGTCAGCTGGAACACTACTTAATATTCAAAAACGACTTGTCCGTCTATTTATTCAGATCAAGTTTTAATTTTTGTTGCCGTGTTAAACGTTCTTTGGAATAATGTTTTCGTTTGTCTCGTCTTTTCAGTTTCAAAGCTCTGAAGATTGAAGTAAAGGACGAGTACAAATGGCTCTAAGAAGACTGCGGCTGTTGTAGAGACAAGAAGTCCAATATTACTGTAGTAAATTATGAGTAAAGTTTATTTGAACATCTTGAGTGCTTGTTTTGACTGAGTAGTACAGAAGAAAAATTCTGAATGACTAGTATGTATCTAGTATATAAGAGTGAAGAAAAATTTTGACTAAGTCTGAAGACTAGTATGTATACTACTATTTGAAAGTAAAGAAAAATTTTGACTAAGTCTGAAGACTAGTATGTATCTAGTATATTAGAGTGAAGAAAAATTTTTGACTAAGTCTGAAGACTAGTATGTATCTAGTATGTGCAATAGAAATACATATTTTCAAACAATGCAACCAGTAAAACAGATTACTTCTTTTCTCATTCGATTACAATAACATCTTAAAGAATAAAAGAGACATTAAGTTGTCATTGAAAAGGCATGAATTCTTAATACTGTATTTTGTTCAGCAAATTTAAGTAAGAGAATATTCACTCTGGAGTAAATTTTTATGGAAAAAATGTTTGCGGTAATTGTCTTTTGGTGGGAGCTTATTTTTGCATATTGCAGGAAAAATCACAAAAGTTAGAAAAGAAAATCTTTTGTTACTTAAGTTTTCTTCATGTCGCATACTTCCAATTTTTGTGGCTAATTAAAAGAACACTAGTAAAAGTCATCTTGTTTTTTGGTTGAGTGATCTCTGTGCTGTATAGGTTTTGGCAGTGGGCAGACATGTTAAAATCTTTGGACAAAAAGGTAAGTGCATGGGGTACCAAGTGTAAAATAAACAAATTAGGCTCAGGAAAAGGTTATAAGTTAAAGGAAAATTAAAGTTACATGTTAAAATTCAGGCCATCTAGAGCTAAAAAAAGGAAAATGTTCAGAGGTAGAAAAAAATATTTTCCTGTAGGCCATTTATGCATCCTCACCTTCAATCACATGTATATGAGTTAAGTATATGTTTAACCATTCAATTTCCTCTTCGAAAGAGTAAAGTAAAGAGCCTGAGAGAAATAACAGTTTAACTGTATTTTGTTGTCTCTCCAGGTATGCCGCATGTACAGAGAATGGAGGTTGATCAGGATGGAGTTAATTTAACAAAGCAAATGCTGGTCAGTCTCTTTCGTTCGTTATGCTAAAATATTTAACTTTTTCACTAACCTCAGGCATTAACAAAAATAGTTTGTATCAGCAGGTGTGCAGCCCTGAATAGGGATGCGAGTGATGAACTTCCTGCGATTGTTTTTTTTTTTTTTCATATGACTAATTCTTGTGACAACACTGAGCATCTATCACTGATGAAGACTGTGCAATACAGTTAAAAGTTACGACTAGAAAATCGAAAACTTGTGAGACTAGAATATATTTTTTCAAGCTTACTTACCAAGGTCAAGAATGAGTATTAATGATATTAAGTATCACATAAAACATGTTCAGAGAAACAGGAGAATATAAGGCTTGACAACAACTTTTTTTATTTATTTTTCAATGGGTAGAAAATTTTTGTAGATGGGTTTTCCTTAGTTTTGATAACCAAAGATTTTTTTAACTCCGATCTTTCTCTTTTGACAGGTGTCCTGCCAAGAGGGTCAATCAGCAAGTATTCAAGAGTGAAGACCTTAAAGAAAGTAAATAAATTTCAATAATAGAGAGCATACTGTTGTTCAGTATTTGTAAATATGGCTTAGCAATAATTTTCTGACTTGCAACTATCAACTGAAATTGCTTTGATAGTCTAAAATAAGGTAAAGTGTATGAGAAGAAAAAAAATTGTATTTCATTGTCTCTCCAGGTGTGCAGCATGTACAAGGAATGGAACTCAGGAACAAATAATTAAACCAAATGTAAGTCAATCATTTTGATTTGTTTCACTTGCTTCAAATTAAACGGTAGTTTTGTTCACTGTCATCAGGTCACTTGATAAAGTCAGTTTGTCAATTGACAGTCACGTGTTAACAGAACATCCACCGATTAAATCACCATGTAATTAAACTTGCATTGCCTTTTGGTTGAGTGATTTCTAATATGTATAAGTTTTGGCAGTTTAGTGGTGACCTGTGAAATCTTTTGACAAAAAAAATAAGTGGGTACCATCATTAGGGCTGAACAAAGAAGCAAGGCTCCAGAAAATGTTACTTGCATAAAGAAAAGGTCATGTGCCAAGATTCATGCCACCTAGAGCAGAAAATAAAAGACCAGAGATTTAAAATTTAATTTAGATCATTTAACAAAGTATATGCTCCCTCACCTTCACTTATGTCGGTTGAATGCGGTACTTATGCAATTTTCCCTTAACCCTTTAAGCCCCAATATGCACATACAAATTCTCCAAACTGATCTCTATACATTTCCTTTAAGAATAAGTTGAGAGAATTTGATAAAAGATCAAGGCCAATTCCCTTAGGTGATCACTTTATTAATTCTCATAACCTAATCTCTTGACATTGTATGGATATCGTTAGGAGAAAATTGACGTTAGACACTATTGGGACTTAAAGGGTTAAGAAGAGTGAGGTATATAGAGCATGAAAGACAAAAGTTAAACTGTATTTTATTGTCTCTCCAGCTAATGCCACATGTACAGGGAATGGAGGTTGATCAGGATGGAGATAATTTAACCTGGCAAATGCCGGTCAGTCTCTTTCATTTGTTAAGCTATAATATTAAACTCTGTATTGGTAGGTTTAATACAAAAACAAATAGTTTAGTTTGTACCAGTATTGTTTGCATCAACCATGCATGCATAAGTACAGGTAGTTGCAGTAATTATTCAATTTCCTTGCTTACTTATTGTAGATTAGTTTCAGAAAAAAAGTTAACTGTAATTCATTGTCTCTTTCAGGTATGCTACAAGGACAGAGAATGGTGGTTGATCATGCAGGATGGAGATAATCTAACCCGGCAAATGCTGGTCAGTCTCTTTCAATCGTTAAGCTATAATATTGAACACTATGTTACAAGGTGTTAGAAGCCAACACAGAAAACAGTTTGTACCAGTATTGTTTGCATCAATTGTGCAAGCATAAGAACACAAACAGTTGCAGTAATTATTAAATTTCCTTGCTAACTTATTGTAGATTAGTATCAGGAAAAAAGTTAACGGTAATTTCATTATCTCTTTCAGGTATGCCACATGGACAGAGAATGGTGGTCAATCAGGATGGAGATAATTTAATCCGGCAAATGCTGGTCAGTCTCTTTCAATCGTTAAGCTAAAATATTGAATTCTTTCACAGGGTTAAGACATTAACCAAAAAATAGTTTTTAGCCAGATTGTTTGCATCAACCAGTGTCCACCTGGAATAGGGATGGGGCATATGAATTTCCTGCGATTTTTAATCTTTTTTTTTTTCATGTGACTAATTCTTGTGACAACACTGAGCATCTGTCACTGACAAAGGCTTTGCAATATAGTTAAAAGCTATGACTTGAAAATCTAAAACTTGAAAGATGAGAATTTTATTTTTTCAAGCTTGATTATCAAGGTGAAGAATGAGCATTTATGATATTAAGTAGTGCATAAATATGTTCAGAGAAACAGGAGAATAAAAGGCTTAACAACAGCTTTTAAAATTTTTTTTAATGGGTAGAAAATTTATGTCGACTGGCTTTCCATAGTTTTGATAACCAAAGATGTTTTAACACTGATCTTTCTCTTTTGACAGGTGTCATGCCAAGAGGGTCAATCAGCAAGTATTCAAGAATGAAGACCTCAAAGAAAGTAAGTAAATTTCAATGATAGCAATCATACTGGTGTTAAATATTTGTAGTAGCTTAGCAATAATTTTCTGACTTGAAACTATCAATTGAAATTGCTTTGATCATCTAAAATTAGGTACAGTGTATGAGAAGAAAAAATGTATTTCATTGTCTCTCCAGGTGTGCAGCATGTACAAAGAATTGAACTCAGGAACAAATTATTAAACCAAGTGTAAGTCAATCATTTTGATTTATTCCACTTGCAGTGGAAAAACAGTGTTTTTGTTCACTGTTATCAGATCACTTGATATCTAAGTCAGTTTGTCAATTGACAGTCACGTGCTAACAGAACATCCACTAATAAAATAATCAATCCTGGTCTTTTGGTTGAGTGATTTCTAAACTGTATAAGTTTTGGGAGTTTAGTGGTGACTTGTGAAATCCTTGGACGAAAAAAAAAATAAGTGGGTACCATCATTAGTGCTGAATAAAGAAGAAAGGCTCCAGAAAATGTTACTTGCAAAAAGAACAGGTCATGTGCCAAGATTCATGGTATCTAGAGCAAGAAAAAAAACACCAGAGATTTAAAGCTTTATTTAGATCGTGTAATAAAATATATGCTCCCTCACCTTCAGTTATGTTGGTTGAATGCAGTACTTATGCAGTTTTCCCTTTAAAAGAGTGAGGTATATAGAGCATGAGGGACAAAAGTTAAACTGTATTTTGTTGTCTCTCCAGCTAATGCCACATGTACAGGGAATGGAGGTTGATCAGGATGGAGATAATTTAACCGGGCAAATGCTGGTCAGTCTCTTTCATTTTTTAATTAAACTATAATATTGAACTCTGTATTAATTAGAAGGTATAAGACAAAAAAAAAAACAGTTTGTAACAGTGTTGTTTGCATCAACCATGCATGCATAAGTACAAGTAGTTGCAGTAATAAATTATTCTATTTCCTTGCTTACTTATTGTAGGTTAGTTTCAGAAAAAACGTTAACTGTAATTCATTGTCTCTCCAGGTGTGCAGCATGTACAAAGAATGGAACTCAGGAACAAATGATTAAACCAAAATAATGTAAGTCAATCATTTTGATTTATTCCACTTGCTTAAATTAAACAGTAGTTTTTCTCACTGTCATCAGGTCACTTGATAGCTAAGTCAGTTTATCAATTGACAGTCATGTGTTAACAGAGCATCCACTAAAATAATCACCATTTAATTAATCCTGGTCTTTTGGTTGAGTGATTTCTAAACTATATAAGGTTTGGCAGTGTAGTGGAGACCAGTGAAATCTTTGGACAAAAAAAATAAGTGGGTACCATCTTTAGTGCTGAACAAAGAAGAAAGGCTCTAGAAAATGTTACTTGCAAAAAGAAGAGGTCATGTGCCAAGATTCATGCTTTCTAGTGCAGGAAAAAAAAGACCAGACATTTAAAATTTAATTTATAATTAGATCATGTAAAAAAATATATGCTTCCTCACCTTCACTTATGTTGGTTGAATGCAGTACTTATACAATTTCCTCTTAAAAAGAGTGAGGTATATAGAGCATGAGGGACAAAAGTTAAACTGTGTTTTGTTGTCTCTCCAGCTATGCCACATGTACAGAGAATGGAGGTCGATCATGAAGGATGGAGATAATTGGACCCAAATGCTGGTTAGTCTCTTTCATTCGTTAAGCTAAAATATTGAACACTGTATTACTAGGTGTTAGAAGCCAACACAGAAAACAGTTTGTACCAGTATTGTTTGCATCAACTGTGCATGCTCAAGAACAAGCAGTTGCAGCAATTATTCAATTTCCTTGCTTTAACGTATAATTATATAGATCAGTATGAGAGAAAAATATTAACTTTATATCTTTGTCTTTGTCTTTGTGCAGGGAATGGAGGTCAGGATGGAGCTAATTTAACCCAAATCCAGGTCAGTCCCTTTCATTTAGTAAGCTAAAATGTTAAACTGTATCCCAGGTTTCAAATCGGACTTTTTAAGCTCTACAATTTACATAGTTGTGTTAAGGCTTTAAGTGGAATCCAAATTTTCCAAAATAATTGGGGTGTCCTTTAAATTTGGTCTTGAAACATTTCTCAGTATTAAATTCTCAGTATCAGCCATGTTCATTTCTTTACGAATGTGAGCATTTTGCTTTTGCTGAAATTTTTTGGTCTCAAAAATATCCCTTCTTATAATTTGTATGTGATGCCATTCAGTAAAATGTTTGTAACACTGTCAACCGTTTTTCCCATTGGGAACATGTGCTAGTAACTTTAGCAACGTTTCTGTTGTGATATATGATATATGTGATATATTTCTTGTTATTCAGATATCAAGTTCAAGAAGTCAGTGTTTTGCTGGAGTAGACAAGGTAAGTTAATTTACTTATCCCTTGAAGAGTGATGTTACATCAGTACCTTAGTATATACTCCAGTTGAAGGAAAATTTATGATTCCAAGTACCCGGCATGAGTTTGGTTAGGTCTAAATACCTTTCTTGACTTTGCTACCTAAATGTCTAATTCACGCCATTCCATGCCATAGCAACACTTTCAACTTAATCATTCTTTTTTTTCAAGATTAGCAGCCCCTAGGAATAAGAACTAGGAAGTCTGTTTTGTGTAAGAAAAAAAATTATGAACATTTAAAACAGAGATTGTAAATTGCAGCACCTAGAAAAAATTTGATTTTATTCCCATGAATATGATGTGAAAAAATAAAATGTGGCCAATGCTCTGGGGGTGTTTTTTAAATCTTTCCATTACAGCCCATCTCATATTTGTTTTCATTTGTTATCGATAAGACTTGATTAGAAAATTGTCCCTTAAATCTTTCCTTTGACCTCTGATCAGTGACCACAAAAGAGTAAACAACTTTGAGTTTAGGATTGCTTTTTTCTGAGTAAGTGGTTACTGAAATGGGTGCTACTCAGAATGTATTGGGTTCATCAGTTGTTAATATTATTTTATGGTTTCATACATGCAATTAGGTATCATTTGATACCATGGAAATGGTAGTCATGAAGAGGATGGGATGTCCACCTATAAAATTGGTAAGTTTATTTCATAATTATAGCTAACGAAAGGTCTTCCTGTGGGATGATAACTGATGTTTTTATATGAAAAACAATTTTCACTGAACTTACACGTAGATTTTGTGGTACAGTTAGATGAAATTTTCCTTGTTACAAATTTTACAAGATTTTTCCACCCTAACATTACCATGAGCACTGTAAAGTAACTTTAATGGTTACTTGAAAAACACAAGCTCTGCTAACTAAGTGACTACCCTGACTGCACTGACTTTGTTTACCATGACTGGTACACTGGTTGATGCAGATTAAGACTGGTATAGTCAGAGAACAATCTTCGCAAAAACCCAAAAAAGCCTGTACAAAACTGTTAAAAACCTAACTGAAGATGAGAAAAGAAATGTAACAACCGTTATTGAAAGTAAGGATGGAAATTTCTGAGTGAAGCTCAAGATGTTCTAAGCAGATGGCAAAGGATACCATGACGAACTGTACAATTGTCTGATTGACAAAGATGATGCAGTGCAGGACACGCTGAACAGCGGTGCTGTACCAAGTAAAGCAGCTCCACTGATGCCAAGAGCAGAGGTTGATGAAGCTGCGATAGCTCTAAAAGACAACAAAGCTTCTGGTGTGGATAACATTAGAGGATAGCTGCTTAAATGTGGTGGAGATTGACAGTTCTAAATATACCACACAATATTCTCAACAAGATCTTAAAAACTCGAATCTGGCCTGAAGATTGGACCACATCAATACTGATTCCAGTCCCAAAGAAAGTGTCATACAATTGTGTTAGAGGATAGCTGCCTAAATATGGTGGAGATTGGTAGTTATTTATATACTACACAATATTTGCAACAAGATCTTAAAAATTCGAGTCTGGCCTGAAGATTGGACCACACCAATACTGATTCCAGTCCCAAAGAAAGTGTCATACAATTCTGCTGACCAAAGAGCAATTGCACTTATCAGTCGTGCCAGTAAAGCAATGCTGAAGATCCTTCAAAAGAAAATTGTACCAATGATACGTCTGTGTTGGTTGATTGTCAGGTGGTAATTAGAGCAGGGAGAAGTACAGTGGAGCAAGTAACCTATCTCCGAATATTGTGCCAAAAGTACATTGAACTCGACTGAAAAGTATCCTTGAATTTTATTTACTGCAAGAAAGGTTTTGACAGAGTACGGCACAATCTTTTGTGGGCAGCGCTAAGGAATATGGAGTAGATGAGAACATCATAAACTGTTTATACTGTTTACAGCGACCAGCTATGTGTAATGTAGAACAAGCTGACAGTTACCATTCAAGCACAGAGGAACAGGCTAACTATCCACAAACACATAAGAGTATCAGTTATCATCAGAACACTTCAAATAAGCAGTCATCATGTTCACATAAAAGAAGCAGCTAGACAATAAAAAAAACAAGTTGCCATCCAGACAAAGAAGCAAGGAGTAACCACGTACACAAAGTAGAGCAACCTAAATTACCAACCTTCCGTAGCATACAAGCACCATTCAAACATTGAGGAACAAGAAGTTTCCATGGACACATGGAAGAAAAGGCAGTTACCATCCATGCCAAATTATAAAGTTGTTTCCCGACACATTAAAGGAGGACAAGATATTACCTTATAAATGGAGAGAAACAATTAAGCACACACCATTTACTCACAGTAGAACAGTTTAAGTTACCATCCATACCCCAAAAACAGCATTATTACTATGCTCAGACAGAAGAGCAAGCAGATACCATCCACAAACAGTGAAACAAGTTACAATCCACACACAACAAACATGCAGTTTCCCAGCACAAAGGAGGATAAGCAGTTATTGTGCAAATAAAGAAGAGGAAGCACATAGCATTCACTCACAGAAAAGCAAGTTAAGTTACAATCCATACCCCAAAAAAAACAGTCACCATGCAAATGCAGAACAAGAACAGCTTTCGGTCACAATATTAATATTTATTAAAAATAAGTTACAAATCACACAAAAAAGTGCAGTTACTCTGCACTCATAGTATTTATCCACAAAGACAAATTCAAGCTAAGTAACCATGTACACAAAAGAAAAAGCTGCGTTATTATACAGATAATTTAAAAACAAGTTTCTACTGTCCTGGCACAAAAGAGAAGTCAAGCTTGGTGAACATGCACACAGTGAAGAACTTCCAGTTACCATACACACCAGCTCACAGACGAAAAATAAGTTGCTGCACGCTTACAGAAGCATACCCATGAAGATTTAAGGGAACAAATGTGCACTGCAGAACAACAAGCAGTTAACATTGACACACAGGACAAACAGGTAGATTTCACACGTTGAAGTAGAAACCGGTACCATTCACACTCGGTAGAAAAAGTAGATACCACGCGCACACTGAAGAACAACCAGTTACCATCCACACACTGGAAAACAAGCAGTTACCATGCACTCACTGAGGAACAACCAGTTACCTCACAGACACTGAAGAACAACCAGTTGTCACCCACACACTGAAGAACAATCAGTTACCATGGGCACACTGAAGAACAACCAGTTACCATCCACACACTGGAAAACAAGCAGTTACCATGCACTCACTGAGAAACAACCAATAACCAACTCACTGAGGAACAACCAGTTACCTCACAGACACTAAAGAACAACCAGTTGCCACCCACACACTGAGGAACAACCAGTTACCATGCGCACACTGAAGAACAACCAGTTACCATCCACACACTGGAAAACAAGCAGTTACCATGCACTCACTGAGAAACAACCAATAACCAACTCACTGAGGAACAACCAGTTACCTCACAGACACTAAAGAACAACCAGTTGCCACCCACACACTGAGGAACAACCAGTTACCATGCGCACACTGAAGAACAACCAGTTACCATCCACACACTGGAAAACAAGCAGTTACCATGCACTCACTGAGAAACAACCAATAACCAACTCACTGAGGAACAACCAGTTACCTCACAGACACTAAAGAACAACCAGTTGCCACCCACACACTGAGGAACAACCAGTTACCATGCGCACACTGAAGAACAACCAGTTACCATCCACACACTGGAAAACAAGCAGTTACCATGCACTCACTGAGAAACAACCAATAACCAACTCACTGAGGAACAACCAGTTACCTCACAGACACTAAAGAACAACCAGTTGCCACCCACACACTGAGGAACAACCAGTTACCATGCGCACACTGAAGAACAACCAGTTACCATCCACACACTGGAAACAAGCAGTTACCATGCACGCACTGAGGAACAGGCAGTTACCACCCACACACTGAGGAACAACCAGTTACCTCGCAGACACTGAAGAACAACCAGTCGCCACCCACACACTGAAGAACAAACGGTTACAATCCACACACTGAAGAACAACCAGTTACCATGCACACACTGAAGAACAACCAGTTGCCAGCCACACCCTGAGGAACAACCAGTTACCATGCATAGACTGAAAAACAAGCAGTAACCATGTTCACAGAAGAACAACCAGTTACCACCCACACACTGAAGAACAAGCAGTAACCATCCACGCACAAAAGAACAACCAGTTACCATCCACACACTGAAGAACAACCGGTTACCATGCACACACTCAAGAACAAGCACTAATCATGCCCACACAGAACAACCAGTTACCATCTACACAGTGGAGAACAACCATTTACCATGCAGACACTGAAGAACAACCAGTTACCATGCAGACACTGAAGAACAAGCAGTAACCATGCACACACTGAAGAACAACCAATTACCATTCACACACTGAGGAACAAGCCGTTACCATGAACACAAAGAAGAACAAGCAGTTACCATGCAGACCCTGAAGATCAACCGGTTACCATCCACACACTGAAGAACAAGCAGTTACCATGCACCCACTGAAGAACAAGCAGTTACCTTTCACACACTGAAGAACAAACAGTAACCATGCGCACGCAGAAGAATATACCGTAATTAGTCACTCTTCTGCTCAAAAATCTGTGAGCGGGTGAAGCGAGTGTGAGCACTAGGACAAGCGAAAAAATAGTGCACTGGTTTCGTACACATTTCTGAAACCTCAGATGGCAGCTTGACACCTCGCATCATCAACAGCCTTTTCTAAAATTATGCTCAGTGACGTCATTGTCAAATTTTTCACTGAAATAGATCGGCGCTCGAAGCCTGGAATATCTAAATGATGAACGGTTCCATGCCAGAGAATTGAAGCCTGTTCACAAGATTTCATCAGGGTCAGGAAAAAATATTCAGATCAGCCATCCGATTTTTGTCGTTTGTGCAAGTGTTGTTTTTAAAACGTTTATGGAAATTTATCTCCTAAAAGCACCATTAGTGAACTTTCAGATGAACCCACTGAACACAAAAAATATTTTTAATGTCTCTTGCGAAGGCGAGAAGAAAGGCTTTCCCTGAACTCTATTTTTGAGCGGCTTGGAGTTTTTGTATGCAGAAAATGTTAACCAAACTGAGAAACGCAGGCCCTTCTATTATTACCTTCACACAAGAAATCAATTGGGAATAAATTTGGTGCAAAACTTATGCAAATCTCGACAGTTTGGAGTATGGATCTCTTAATAAGAAAAAACTTTGAACAATTTGATTGTTGCTTTTCAGAATATGTTAAAGATCTCATTATTTTTAAGTTTTGAAGATAATCACTTGCTATTGTTTTGATTTCCCCGAGTACAAAAATATTTGGTAGCAGACATTTTGCGCCTTGATGACAGGTCGACCAGACATTGCTTTGTTTAAACGGTGGGGCAGGTCTCTAATTGATGATGATAAGCTGTTGATGACAGATGAGTGTAATTATGACCAGCCGTTGGTCCGTCACAAGAGTGTCGGGCTTCAGAAATGCTGAATGAAGCCAGTGCACGTACTGGCGCCCTCACAACCCACTGCTCACTGCTTTGCCCTTGCATACTCAATTATTAAACTCGCTCACAGACTTTTGAGCAAAAGAGAGAATGCTTGCAGTCTAACAGAAGAACGACCGGTCACCATGCACACACAGAGGCTGCAAGTCTCATTTTCATGTAATTTTAGGATGATATTTCTCATCAAACCGGTTTGAAGCTGATTTGCGTGTTTGTTTTCATTGACGCTACAGCTGGAAATATTTCAAACAAAACTTCTTCCTCGAGCAATGTTGATTCAGTTGTCGGATGTTCACATGTCTCGAACTTTAACCAGAGGTTTCTTAGCCACACTTCTAAAACAAAACAAGGTCTTTCCGAATTATATTGTTTGTTATAAACATCAAAACTGGTTTTCAATCCCATGTGGTGAAGTTCGTCGATGAAGCCAATCAAGTTAGCTGTTACATCGTTAATTCCCTGGGGATGTGGGAGTTACTTGCTTGTGTGACCAGAGGCCTGTCTCGGGAGCTTTATCAAACGGTGCGCATGGATGGTTATTTCATCCTAGGTATTTCAAGAACGGACCTTTGGAACCAGGGAAGCTGCTGATTAACTCATTGATCATAATGACTATCAACGGCCTGCATCTTGAGCTCCAGTCGGACTACAAGAAACACCATAGTACAGAGTCAGCACTTGTAAAAGTGAAAAACAATTTCTTATTGAATATGGATGTATAGAAGGTGATCTTGCTGGTTCTCTTAGATCTTCGCAT